GGATGCAGACCGAGGAGAAAGGCTGCTTGGCTATCCGTTGGCTACGTGGGCCTACAGCTGCCATCTGGGCAGTGGCCACACAGGCTTGGCATCTCCCAGGGCCAGGAAAGGAGATGGCCGGATGTGGATATCAGGCTGTGAGGCCTCTGGGGGCAGCAGGGCCCATCTACTGCAAAGTGCCTGCAAAGTCAAAACATGGCTGCTTCTCATGAACCAGGCCTGCACCACCTCTGTATACCACTCCCTGCCTGGAGGACGTCTTCAGAGAGCTTCAGTGGAGAAAATGAGAAGGTACAGCATTTAATGTTTTGTGTAATGAGGCCTGAAATAGATGAGAGCTGAGATCCAGGCCCCTGGCTACCAGCAAGGTGTTTAAATATTGACAATCCATAAAAGCCTCCAGCTCCACTCCAACTTGCCACTGGCCTGAGTCACAGAGATGTGGGCAGCTTTCTCAACTCTTGGGTCCAGCAGCCCACTTGGGTTCTGCTAATGATCTGAAAGGGGAAACAGTGGGCAACCTGCTTTCAAACCTCGGGTAATAAAATGGGCTCAAAAACAAGATCTTTAGCTGTCACCGAGAAGGGCAGTGTCTTCCAGGTCAGTCTCTATGTGTTAGCCCCCTCTGTGGGGTCCCTGTCCACATTCTAACAGTGGCACCACTGAGCACAGACCTCCTGACTTCTGTACAAGGCGTGGGACCAAGCCAGAAGCCAAGTGACATGCTGATTAGGTGCTTTTCACACAGTCTTGCTGATACATGAAAGCTGGGAACCCAGGCAAGCAGCCCCATGTCCTGTTTCTTGCCTGATAGCACCTGGAGAAGTTGTTCATGGTCCTAGGTAGCTCTCGCCTGGGGGTCAAGAGGGTCAAGATCTTCCTGCTCTTGCAAAGTGCCAGCCCTCCATCATGGGAGTTAAGGCTCAAGGCAGGCAGAGGTTTCTGGCTGGTGAGGGGTTACATTTTCTATGGCTGAGCTTGTACATGAGTACGCCAGATTCAAAAACACATTAGTGAGCTGGACTGTTCCGGGGGAGGCTGCCTGGGTTGGCTCTTCATTATTTAAACTTGACTTTTTATGTTGAGGTCATTGGTAAGTCCCACGTAGTCATAAGGAATACAGAGGCATTCAGGTACATTTACTCACTTTCTCCCAGTGGTAGCATCTGTCCTGTGTCACGGCCAGGGTGTTGCCAGCGGACAGCAGAGGCACAGAATACCTCTGGAGCTCTCTTAGAACCACATGTCTGCTGGGATAATAGGTAACAGAGGCAGAGGCATCCAGGTGGAAGGAAATCACTGGGCAAGACTCAGCTGTGATTATCTGGGTCCGGCTTCTTACTCTGTTGCTGGCACCACTGACCCACTTGGCAGTGGTGTGACTCTCAAGGACAGCTTCTCAGAATGGTTTTAGACACTTGAAGTAGGGTTGAAAAGGACATGGATTATCCTGGTAACGCTCTATTACTTAGAGGCAAATGGAAGTTCCTGGTAACCTCTGCCTTTTACTAGTGCAGACATGATTGTGGGTTGTTTTTCTTTGTACTACTTGCTCAGTTATGTGGTTCTTTGGAAGGTGTGCAGAGAGAGTTGGATTTAGAATAAGGATCTGTGACCCTTGTTTTAGGGCAACTTGGAAGCCTAGAGCCTTCACAAACTTCTTGATTAACTAGGTCTGACAGAGTCGACAAACAACCGGAATTTCAAAGCCATGACAAGTATAAACAAAACTGAAATAGCAGCAACAGCTTTAACGTCACATGTGGGTGTCCATGTTTCCGCAGCTGGCAGTCATAGACCCTGCTTCGACTTTGGAGCCTTCTTACCTGTTACGGTGGGTGACACAGGCCTCCACCCTGCCACTACCCACCACAAGGGGCAAATTCTTGTGAAAGTCCTAGCCACCCATACCTCAGAGTGCCCTGAGTGGGAAAAAGAGTGATTGTGATATATTTAGTTAAGATGAGCTCAACTAGAGCACTGCGAGTTCCTAAGTCGGCATGGAGTTGTGGCCTTGCCAGAAGGGGGAAGCTGGAGCTTCAGTACAGTGAGAAGGCCCTGGGCGAAGGAAGGCGGGGAGGGGGCAATGTGCCTGCGAGCCAAGGAGTGCCAGGGATGACCAGTAGCCACAGGAAGTGAGGAGAAAAGCAGAGAACAGGTTTTTCCTCACAGGTGTAAGAAGCAATTAACCCTTCCAGCTTCCAAACTTGCAAGGCAAAAGATTTCTGTTAATTCAGCTGCCCAGTTCAGGGTGCTTTGTTATGACCCTAGCACACTAATACCCCTCATTCATAAAGAACAGAAATGATAAATTTCAGTTAGAAGTTAATAACAACACAGCTGTTTTTTTTTTTTTTTTCTCATCCAAGTTTATGGAGCTGCTGAATTTTATCTGTAAGTCTTATCCATGAGTCCTTTTTTTGTTGCTATAGTAAAATGCCCAAGGCTGTGTACTCTATAAAAGAAAAAGGTTACTTAAGCTCATGGTACTGGAGATTCAAGAGCAGGGTGATAGCGGCTGCTTGGCTCTGGTGAAGGTCTCCCTGGCTGTATTACAACATGGTAATGGTATCCTGGAGAAGTGCCGTGTGTGTGTGCGTGTGTGTGGGGGTGATCACAGGGTGAGACAGAGGCCAGAGAGTGGGAGGGCCAGTCTTGCTCCTTTAAAACATTTCACTCTTAGAAAAGGACCTCACTGCACAAGACCAGAATTAGTCCCTGCCCGGCCATACCCCCAAGGACCAAGTTACCTCCCCCTGGGTTCCAGCTCTCGTAGGCCCCACCACCTCTCAACATCACTATGCTGGCACCCAGCTTCCAACAATACCCTTGGGGCATACGCTCAAGTGACATCCAGTTGACCGCAGACCCTTTGATGGGGACCCGGTGACCACAGAAGCCCAAGACCCTTCACTGATTCGGGGCCCTCTGTTGCAGAGCTGGCCAAATGCCTTGCTCAGAAGACAGCACCAGGGCCCAGCTCAGCAGCCTAAAGTCAAGAATTCTTTTTTGGCAGTCCTAGGGATTGAACCCAGGGCTTTGCAGTGAGCTACATCTTTAGAGTATTTATTCATTTCTATTTTGAGGCAAAGGTCTCACTAAATCACTAGGTTTCCCAGTGTGGACTCAAACTTGGAATCCTCCTGTGCCAACCTCCCAGAGTGCTGAAATGATAGGCATGCACCACCACACCCAGCTAAATCCATGTGTTCTTGAGCCAAAAACCTTGTTATGCTGCCTTTTAGTCTTACAAGATTTTTCAGTCTTACATACTCAGTCTCTTTAGAAGTTTCCATAAGGTGCTTCCAATTTGTAACCTTGTAAATGCAATTTGGTGGTGGAGAAGGGAGAGACATCCCTGAACACACTGACGGATGTTACCACAGGGCTCTTTCTTCTTGGTCTAATACCCTCTTTACATATTGGACCCGGTCGACTCCTGGGCTTCAGTCCATTCAGAAAGTGACTCCTTGTCGCTTCTGAAGACACCTGAAAGATCACCCAGCTCAGTCTCAAGTGTTCCCAAAGTCATGGTGGGACCCTCTGGAGGTTGTGAGGATGCTGCTGTACTCTCCATGTTCGATGATGCCTTCTGCTGACAGCAGAAATGTCCTGTTCAACTTGTCAGAAATTTCTTTTTCTAATAATATCCATCCTTCATTATTAAAGCAGAGAGGAACTCTTCCTTTGATGCCATTGGTGGGAATGTAAATTACCACAGCCTCTATGGAGAATAGTACAGAGGTTCCTCAAAAAGCTAAAAGTAGGGGCCGGCCTGATAGCTCAGCAGACTAAAGCACCTGATTAGGCAGAGCACAGTGGCCAGGGTTCAATCCCCAGCATGCTGTGCCTCCTGCAAGGATGTGCTAAGATGGAAAATGATACTGGGCATGGTGGTGTGTGCCTGTAATCCCAGCGCTTTGAGAGGCTGAAAACAGGAGGCTCACTACGAGTCCAGTCTATATAATATAGTGAGACCCTGTAGACCATGTCCTAAATACCGGGGGGGGGGGAGCTAAAACTAGAGCACGATCCAGCAATCAAGTCTACTCTAGGCTAATATCCAAAGGAAATTACTCATAGTAGCCAAGATACACAACAGCCTAGTGCCTGTCAACAGAAGAATGGAGAAAGACAGTGTGGTTTAGGTACACAACGGAGTATTATTTGGTCATAAAGAATGAGATCCTGTTATTGGCAGTAGAATGGATGGGACAAGAGGACCTTAAGTGAAATGGAATAACCCAGCCCCACAAAGAAGATACCGCATGCTCTCTTACATATGTGGAGACTAAGAAAAGTCACTTTGGGATACTTCCCCTTCTCTCTGGAAGGAGAATAGGGACAGGGAAGGTGCTGTGAATGGTGTGTAGGAAACAGTGCATGGGCATGAGCGATGTACAACGTATGATATGTGAGATGATCACACCGAATCCCTGTAATATGTACAGTTAAGATGCATTAATAGGGGCTGGGTAATGGCTCAGTAGAATAAGCGCTTCCCTGGCAAGTGCAAGGATCTGAGTTCAATCCCCAGTTCCACAAAAAAAAAAAAAAAAGGATGCATTAATAAAAAATAAAACGTGAACAGGCTAAAGAGTGTAGACTGGCAATAACAGGTAAAAGGCAAAGCAGCAGCTGATCTTAGACATTTTTCTCAGAAGCCCAAGAATATAATTATCAGGGAGAGCACAGCTTTGTCCATGTTGGCAAGTCATCTCCAAAGATGCTCTTGGGTCTGGCTGAGAAGGGAAAGTGTCCCAAAGTGTCCCTTAGTTGCTCCTTGTGTGTTTCTGAGGATGACAGTGACCATCCTCCTGGCAAGTGTCCCGTAGCTAATGTACTATGTCTCGATGGCAGTGAGGTCACAGCATGGTGTGGTCATGGAAACACAGGAGGAGCCGGAGGATGAGCCTCTCCTTTCACCCAACCACACCTGGCTCCACAGTGCTGCCTGCCACAGGCCAAGACTCCCCTGCTCCCAGGTGCGCAGGGCCTACCTGAAGGCCTGGCCTCTATGACGAAGCCAGTCGTGGGCGTGCTGCCGGGGCTGCCCTCTGTCCACTGCAGGGTCAGGTCTGAGATAGATTTGGTGACTGAGACATCTCTAGGGGAACCTGGGGACCCTGCAGAACAAAGAGAGAAGAGTAAAGCCATTGATCTTGGGGGAACTGGCGATCCCTCAGTGAGGAGCCAGACCTTCTAGGTTCCTAGGCCTCTAGGTAGGTTACCAACCCTCATTCTACCAGGCACTTCAACCTAAAAATAGGAAGTGAGCTGGGTGTGCTGGAGCACATTAGTAATCCCTGCCCTATGGAAAGCTGAGGCAGGAGGGTCTCAAGTTTAAGCCCAGCCAGAGCAATTTAGTACGTTTGTCTCAAAATAAAAAACAAAAACAAAAACAAAAACTGAAAAGGTCTAAGGATGCAGCTCAGTGTGAAGGCCCTGGGTTCAATCCTCAAGACTGAAAAAAAAAATCAGAAAGTGCTCAGTGGTCAGAAAGAGATGGCACAGACCACGCCCCTGGCACCTGCTGGACTCCCTAAGTGTCATCCTGCAGCTGAGGCCTTCTCAGTGTCTAAACAAAGGCCAAGAGCTGGCCAAGTGGGACGTTCCTGTGTCCTTCCTGTCATAAGTGAAAAGTTTTAAATTTCATTTCAGAAATTGAATTCATTTTGGTTCACAAACTAATGGTTCCACAGTTCTGGAAAGGATGGTTAGATCTGTGTGGGAAAGAGAGATACAGTCGTGTTCATCACCCAGTGCTGAGTTGCAAACAAAAACAAGATACTGCCTGGCACTTCTTTTTGTGAACTAAATGTTTGTGAACAAAAATATTCATGAGCTGAGGTACTACTGTGTTTTCTCTCGTTTATGTTTTCATTAGACACAAACGCCCGTGCTTAACACATGAAGGGCTGCTCACTTGCACAGCAGGAGCCCACCTGCAGTGCGGCCCTTGCCTTTGTAGACTGCCCAATGTCCCAAGCTTCGGAAGCTCTGCCCTGCCAGAAGTGCTAGGCTGAGGAGTAGACAAGTCCTCAGCTCAGCGAAACCAGAGGTGAGGCTGCAGGCATGACAGAGGCTCACCTGTCACCCAGGTTCCACTCACCCTCAGCCGGCCCTGCCGTGACATTGGCTTGGAGTTCCGGCCCATAGGCGATGGTCTGTGCTTGGACACGGAAGAAGTAGGTCACTCCCTTGGTGAGGTCTCGCACCTTCAACCAGCGCTGCCAATTCCCTTTCACGTCCACCGTCACCACCTTGCTCACACCTAGACCAGCAAAGAGGAGAAGGCACTGAGCCTTGAGAAGTAATCCAGCACTGTCTGATCTGAAGTGATAACCAGGAGAACAGCCTGAAGTTGGCTGAGGAAATGGCTCTTACAATTAGGAGGAGTTCAAGCAGTGATTAGGACCAATTCTCAGTACTGATAAGTGTAATTAGAATTTAAGCTGGAGAAGTAGTGCCAATAAAGAAAAGAACCCGATCCACAATGCCTGATGGCGTAACTCAGTGGCACCCTGGAAGGAGGGGGGACAGTCATCCAACACATGGGTGATGTGGGTAGGGGCACAGTCCTGCCTGTCTCAGTACAGCTCCCCCGATGGCACTGTAGAGAAGGCCCCCTTCCCATACCCAGAAAGATACTTGATAAGGTAAAAGGTGAGCTCCTCCATGGGGGAGGGGGTCTGTGGCCTGACCGGTTTGGGAGATTTGTGGCCTTTAGGCTCAAAAACTTGTGAGAATGTCATCTGTGATCCTTGAAGCTAAGACAAAGAAACAGTTATCCCTGTTAGTATTGATGCCTCAATACAAGAAGGATGAAAATACAGAGGCAGAGAACAATACAAAAAGATTGCTGAGTGGATCAAGTACAGTAGCAAGCCCCATCCATGAGGGACACATTCCAAGGCCCCCCATGTCTACCTAAACTGTGGGTTGTACCAGGCACTAAGAACACTAGGTTTTCTCAGGGTGTCCTGCAGTACTTCCCCTTAGTACCCGAGTCAACCTGTCCTTCGTGATGACTGTCATCCTCAGATGTACTAGGCACTGTCAGATCCAAAGTTATGGTAGCAACTTCTGATATTCAAGAAAATGCCTTTGTTCTCCTTAGAGCAAAAACAAACCCATGAACAGATTTTGTAAACTTGATCCCACTAGGAGGTACAGCCAATCTGGCCTTTCCTCCACCTCAAGTGTGTCTGAATTTTATTTATTTAGTCAATTTTTAGACCACGTCCTGTACTACAAAGCCTCAGGGTGCAATTCCATAAAATACTTCCATTTGAAACATCTTTAAAAGCATAAAAATAGCTTTGCCATCAAGGCAGATTCCAAAGAGCCAGCTAGTGGGGCACTGCAGGCAGCTCGGTGTTCCAGGTGGCCCCAGGGTCCAGTGGCTTAGTAGTTTGGGAGGCATGGTGATCCAGGCTAGGGTGGTCCATGGTGTGGTGCTCTGGTGCCACGGTGGCCAGGGACTGGCCAGCCATGGCTGTGGGCTCATCTCAGCACACAGGATGGCCCAGGATGTCTTTCTGATGGGGTGATGGCATTGGGCAAGGGTAATGTTCTCTGCTGCCCTTGGCCTGGCTGATCGGTGTCACGCTCCAGGGTTTTATAGTTGTCTATGCCAGGAGGACACCTCTGAGCATCCACCAGCTATCACTAGCAGGCAAGAACACCATTGGACAACCTTCCCCATCATTTAAAAAAACTGGCTATAGCACATTTTAAAGATTTTTGTTGCAAAGCACACCAGGCAGGTAGCAGTTCACCTTCACACATATAAACAAGTCTCTCATCTTTGACAGTCTTCACAAGAGAACCACCATTACTGTGGAATGAATACAACTCTACCCCAAACAAAGGTGCTGGTTGTTTTCATTCTGTTTGCAAACACATCTCAAGAAACATGCAGCTTCTAGGAGACATTTTAAAATACTGAAAATCATACGGCAATCCAGTTACTACTTTAGAAGATCCCTGTTGGAAATCTGGAATCCCACAGCTGGGGCAGAGAGGTCTTTGGGAACCTGACTCCAAGGTGAATCTGTCCTGTGGACTGTGGTGCCCTACACTGTGATCAGCCCAGCTCATGTGGGTCAGCAGTGACAGATGTACAGTGATCAGGAAGGAGAGAACATGCCCAGGCCTGACCCAGGTCAGAGCCCAGGGTGATTTGCTCTTCGTGGGCTGCCTCTGCTGAGATTCTGACCTAAGCTGACCTGCAAGGCCAGTGTGAGCTGTGAAGACCAAGAGCTTGCCCTCCTCCCCTCCAGTTTCCCAGCATGGAGCAAGCAGTAGGAGCATCAGAGGACAAAGCCAGCCCTTCGAGACAGACAGGAGCAATGCCAGTGACAGGCAGTGTTATGACTTGTGAAAAGAGGTGAAAAAAATGACTGTGGGAAGTGACTCCACCTGTTATCACTTGGGGTGAGTGACAAGCCCACTCCTGCTGTGCAGTCCACGGTTTATAGACAGTATGGAAATTTGCTGTGACAGAACCCCCCACGCTGTCTCTGTCTCTGTCGCTCACCTCTGCATTTGCTTCCAGAAACACAGCACTCCAGCCATTGCCTCTGCTTAAGCAGTGGAGATCTGGCTTCGGAATGGGCCACTTGCATTCAAATTCTGCTTCCCTTCTTTCTTGTTCAAATGCAAGTTTGGAGCAAGTGAACTAAGGGTCTACAAATGGTTTCTTTGCCTAAGAAAGGAATTTGAGGCAGAAACTGGAGGTGGTGGCTGGAACATGCATGGCACACGGGGTGGTTTGTATAAGTACAAAATAAACACTGTCTGCCTATGACGTAGGGGTCTCGTTGACAGGGCGCATGCGGAAAGCGGCAAGTGCCCTGAACACAATGAATGCGATCATCTAACACCACACATTGCAGATGCCCTTTGACTTTCTCATTAATGCAAAATGATTGTGAAGGTAAAGGAGCTGCCACCCTGTGCTACGTGGGAAGCAGCAATGTGGGGCTCGTCCCTCAGGGCCTGGGGTGGGAGTCTGCAGGAAGAGCATAGTGCAGGGAGGAGGGACTCACAAGGCACTCTGAAATCACATGTGGATTTCCTGATGGAAGATGCTGTGTGGGCCTATCTTGTCTTGGAGCGACTGCTTTTGTATAAGACCAGGAGCATCTGCCCGTTGGGGCTCAGGGCTGCATGTGTGCAGTCCTTGACATTCTGTAGCCCCTCACGCAGGACAGAGCATCCTAATGAGGTGCTTATTTGAACAAGCATGAGAAGACTCAAGCTGTTTTTGACAAGGAAAGACTCATAGGTAAATTGGAACCCTGGTCTTTTGGTAATCATTTCTCATTTCAGTGGCTCTCTTTGGTTAAGATTCTTATAAAAGCCATATATAATATGGACTCATAAAACGTGAATGTGTGTGGTGTGTGTGTGGCAAGGGCAGGGAATGCTGGTGGGCAAGATGCAGGACAGTCCCCTTGTGGGTTGCACAGGACAGTGGCCTGGTCCCCTTCTGTACATCTGCCCCGGGACCTCAAATGAGCCACATCAAGGCCTCCCAGTTCCGAGACACAGAGCACAGCTGAGCGGGAGCCATGACAATTGGCCATCCCTCCTGTGCTTGCTCTGCATTTTGAGAACACCGTGGCCACAGATCATCCCACTGTTACTCAGCGAAGCTCATCGATCGTCTCAGGCACACTTTGTTTTTCTTTTTCAGTGTTCACATCTCTGATTTGGGATGCAGCTCAGAAGTGACAATACAGAAGTATTGGGCCATAGTTTATTGGAAGCATTTTTTCTTTCTTAGCATGCCATAAAATGACGATGAATCTTATAGTCAATGGCATCTTAGATTTGGTGAAATAAAATCCAGTGCTTAAATGTCCTCCTTCAAATCACCTCCCTGTTTTATCTGAATGTGCTTATTTTAAAAGGAAACTTTTATCACGGCTTTAAATGGAGAGCCAATATTATTTGATGTACTGGTTATATTTTTCCTCATGGACATTAAATAATCTATAATTTTTACAGTCTGCCTGTGCACATTACTGGGGGGAACGTGCCCCGTCCCATGGGGCAGAGACAGCTGGACTCATCTCTAGGTGTATAATGGGGAGAGAAGAAATGCCAGAGGGCTCTCAGGTGGCTTATCAGTAATTCAGCGGACAGACACACGGCCACTGACAGAAGTAAAGTAATGCTGGGGACAGGTGACACTCTGACCCCCTCAGAGACCCCTTCCTGCAGTCCCTGGGTGGATTGCATTGGCTCTGTCCTCAGAACACATCCTCACCACTTCTCCCTTCCTTACCCTTCACCCTCTGCCCAGCTCCGTGCTGCCCCCAGCTGCTCTCTGAGGTCCTGTGTTCCCTGCCTGTAACCCACTCTCCCAGCAGCCAACTGAATTTCACCTTTGGTTTTCATTTATTATTCATTTTCAAGCCTTTGTGGTGCCTTAGCTCAGGTTCCTTTGTGTTTTAACTCTCCCTCCAGACCCTCTGGGGCTCTGCTTCTGATTGATGGAGGACATTCCAGGGTGATCAATAATCCTCTTCGAATCCCGTGGCATTCAGCGAGTGGTATTTAGCCAGGAGGATCCTGGCTTTGTAGCAGTCCATCCTTGTGTTCCGCTTTCCTTCCTCAGGAAACTCCAGACCACCTGGGGAAGCTCTGGCTGGTGGCATGTTCTCCACAGGGCGACACCAAGCCTTCCCTCTCAGGACTGTGCATGCAGAGACTTCTGCAGAAGGTTTCCCTCAGGCATCTGCACTGTGAGTCCTACCTCAGCACCTTCCCAGGCCCGCATACTCCCATTACCTCCATCCTTCTTCCTCAAAGCACCCAGCACTATCAGAGTTCTGCTTGGTGGTTTAAATTATTTGTACATTTTTCTTCTCTTCCTGGAATAGAAACTCTCTGGATTTGGGAGAACAGGATCTCAGTGCACAAGTCAATGAAGATCCTTGCTTTTCTGGGTCAATGGATTCCAGCACTAAAATAGCTTTAGACAAGCAGGGGGTATTTCATGAATAACTGCTGAGTGAGTGGGGAATGGAAGGGGGTGCCAGAGCACAAAGGATGCTGGACAAAGCAGCTCTTCCAGGACACAAATGGATCTGGAAGGTCAGTGCTGGGGTAGAACGTGGGCTGCTTCTGTCAGGGATGATAAGGACTAGATCTCAGGAAGGAGAGAAGAGACATTTTGCATGTCGGGACTAGGTCAAGGAAGGCTCATGGTGTGATTCCACTGGGTACACACTGCCTTGGACGTGGACATGCAGGGCTGTCCTTCCAGGTTCCTAGTGGTGAGGGAGGTGATGCCCACTCCTGACTCCTCTGCTCTTACCTTGGACAGGCACCAAGGGCTCATACACCACTCGGTAGCCCTGCAGAATGCCATTGGCCGCCACTGGCTCCCCCCAGGACACGTTCAGTGTGGTGGAGGTGATTTCTGAGAATGCCAGGAAGCTGGGAGCCCCAGGAGCTGGAAGAATGGAGAACACTGTAGTGACTTTCACGAAGGCGCCCTCATGGATCACACACATGCGTCTGTGCCTCCACCAAGGAAAGGAAATGTTATTAGGTGTTATTTTCAACCCAGTAGAAGTCTAAATGCCACAGAATGAAAAGGAGACTCATTGATCACCTCCAAACTTAACAAGATCAATCAGAAACACAGGGCAGAGAAAATGACAGAATCAAACACAAAGGAGCTGAGAGGTGGATGGACGAAAGCTTGACAATGAATAATGGATGGAAACAGAAAATGACATGCAGATAGCAGTTTCCAGAGACTGCTGGAAGGTTCTAGGGACTTTTGCCCTGCTCTTTTGGGGACAGGTGGCACTCAGTGGTGGACAAGGCCTTTCCCTATCTCTCCCTCCTCCTTCCTCCACCTTTCTTCTCCCCTCTCACAGTGGTCCATAGGTTTCAGAGGATGCTTTTTCATTTAAACCCCTCAGCATGGAGGTCCCGGATATCAGGGTCAAGAGAGGAGGTGGCTGGCTGAGCAGCTGAAGCTGCTGGTAGAAATGAAGGCCTGCGTGTGACTGGGAACATGACAGGGCCACTCCATACCCTCCGCCTGGACCCTGCAAGTGAGCGTGTACTGGGCTGTCCTCTCACCCCCCACGGCCTAGTGGGCACCTGGTCTCCTGCATCCCACACCTTCTGAGGCTTGGAAGCACTCATTGCAGTGGTACTCACCTTTCTCTCTGTTCTGCCCTGTCATTGAGTTCTTTAGTCCATAAACTACCACATTCCAGTGTCCCAAAGAGGCCAAACCCTGCTGCACTAATCTACCCATGTTCTGCTAACTCAGATTCCGAAGTTGGCCTGTGGTACTGGATGAGGAAAGGAGGCAGTCCTGGCACTCTGGCATAGCTGTCTTTCAGACATGATGCCAGGCACCCTCGCCACAGGTTGGTCTTCCAGGTATGATATCAATCTGTTGACACTGCCTGCCAAACATTGGGGTCCCTGAATCCTATATCTTCATCCACAGTTTCCCAGACCTGCATCTCACAGAGGGTCACCAAGAGCCCCAGGACCCCCAGACCTCTGATCTCCAGCCCACTGGAAGAAACTGAGATGGCCCAGAAGGGTGGTCTTTTGTGCATGTGCTGGGCCCCATATTGGCCTGAGGCCTCCAGCAGCACAACTGTGAAGTATAGCTCCATTTGTGCTCTTTCCTGCCCAGGTGTATGGCTGTTCTAAGGCTAGTGTGTGGTCCCAAAACCCAGGAGCCCTGGCCTTGGGGCCTGGTTTCACTGTATAAGAAGTTCAGCCCCCAATGATCTGCACAAACACTGAGGTACCTCAGATGGCACCTTGAGCATCAGGGCTGAGGTCAGGCTACAAACAGCCCTTCCTCCCTGTGCTGCCCTCTTGGGCTTCACAGAAAACATGTCCATCTTCTGCCATCATTGTCTAGCACTGGCCTAGCAGCTTGACAGGCCAGGCATTGGGGAAGTGTGAATCACACCCAGTCCTGCCTCTCTTCTCCAGATCCCCAGCTGGGGATGTAAAGGGCAAGCAGAACAAAATGCTGCAGAAACCAAGAGAAAGGGCAATTTGCTTTATCAGGGGCCCAGAGACCACCAGGGGAGTGATGCAGGTCAGCAATCTCAAAGTCAGTCCAACCGAGATCTGCAGAAAGCAAACTGGTGCCCACCTACCGGCCTGATGGGTGCGCCCCTGCCGGGGGTCACTCCTAGGCCCATCGCCAGCAGCATTGAAGGCAGATATGCTGACCAGGTATTTGGTGTGGCTGGTCAGGTTCTTAAGCTTCACCGTAGGCTCAGGGAGGAACAGGACCTTCATCTTCTCTGTTTCATTCCGGCTGCCTGCCTCCCAGTAGTAGATCTGTCAGGAAAAGAGAAGTTGAGGGTGGGCATGGGGAAGCCCTGAGGTGAGGCCAGGCTATGTCCCAGGAGGAGTGTGACAGGGACCTGGGAGCATGAGGGCTGGTGCGGTGGATGTAGGTCCTTGTGGCTAGTGCTGTCAGGCAATGGGCTGCGCTTCTGAGTTGTTAGCTACAATCTAAGCACTCCTCAGCCAATCTGCTCAAAGTGGGGCTTGAGGATAGAGGCCTGTTCCTTCAGTCACTAGTTGGGGCCTGTATTATAGAGCTCAGCCACTGGAAGCCTCTGTTCTGTCCCACAGGAAGATGATCACCAACTGTCTAGCCCTGCGCTGACCACCCACAGAATGAGCCTCAAACTCTTGCCCCCAGGCTTTCATGTTTTGTTCAAATCCTGTATCAAAATATTTACTCAATGTAGCAAAAATACTTTGGAAATCAAAGCAGCAAAATCACAAGAGATCCACACGGGGCTCAGAACTGGTGGGAAAGCCTGTGCCTCCCTTGGGTGGCATTTGTTCCCATCTAGCTCTGATGTGCTCACAGGTGAAGTTCTTGTTTGAGTACGAAGGATTGAGTTGGCTGCCAGCACTGCTTCCCTAGACAGCTGGCGGGGAACCACTGCTCCAGCCAGTGCCAGCTGAGCTGCCCAAAGACAACAGTCCGTGGATCCAGCTTGGCTCAGGGGCCTACGCCTGAGCCAGGCCCCAAGAGCAGTGTGCCTCGGGTGTGAAAGCAGCGCAGAGGTGACATTGGACACTGGGGAGGCTGGGGTCCCACCTGTGAGGAGCAAGGCCTGCCTGGTGAGTGTGGCTGATTTCCATCTGCAAGGCACAGGGGAGCTGACCAGAGAGGATCCCGTACTCACACAGCCCAGCTAACTTGTGGTCAATACCCAAGTTCAATGTCTTCATCGTTAAGAAAATGAGAAAACATATTTTGGACATACATAAATAGCACCTGGCCTCCGGCTCATAGGACCTTCCAGTACCTCATCAATCACTGTAACAGCCTTGCCATGGAGGAAAGTATTAATTTTCATAAAACACCTACAAAAATCATTTTTAAATGGACATTTAATTGGCCCAATAGTCATCAGGGCAGGCAAGCCCAGAGAATCTGGTAACTGATCAACTGGGGCTCCTGGAGGCCAGACAAGGACATTAATTCTGGGGAAGGATGTGGGTACTGTCTGCAGGGGGCTTTTGTGCTATTCAGGGTTCCCAGGCTCTAGGATAGGGAAGCAGCTAGGAACACACTGCCACTGGATAAACCACTCTGTGTAATCACCCCTCCCCAATACATAGTACACCACTTTGCCTTTCTTTTCGTCCATTTATACAGCATTTAGCTATGTGAGTCCAGTAGCTTTCAAAGTGGGGATTCCAGAATCCATACCACCTGCAAACTCATTAGAAATGCAATTCTTGGGTCTCTCCCAGTCTCATTTAGTGAACTGAGAGTAAAGCCCAGCAGTGAACCAGGGCAATGCTGGGAAGGACAGCATATCAGCAAATGCTCTTGGGGGTTCTGGAGTAGACACAGGTTCCCACTGCAAGGCCCAGTGACCAGAGCAGGGAGAAGCCCTCAGCACCTCTGGATGAACTGCAGCTGTGATGGCACAAAGCAGCCCCGGTGAGGACCCCTCCTCCACCCCAGTAGTTTGACCCAGGGCCTGGCCTCCGGGCTGTGTCTGCTGTCCATCTGCTGCTGAGGAGGCAGCAGGGCCCAGTAAGCAGGCAACGCCCTGGAGCAGGGCCAGCATAACCAGCTGAAGCCCTCAGGCCTCCTGCTGGGCACACAGTGAGCAGAAGGAAGAGCCACCCCCACCAGCTTGCCTTGTAGCCCTGGATGTTCCCATTCTGGCTCTCTGGAGGTGGCGGGTCCCATGTGACCTCCAGCTGGCTGGCTGTAAGTGGGGTCACCTGGATGTTCTGCGGAGCCATGGCTGGGGCTGAGGACAGAAGAAGACGAGAGTAATAACTGGGATGTCCCTTCATGATTGGGGCCCCTACCCCCTGGGGTCACGTAAGTCCTAATTCCCTGAAGGACAGCATGGGAGACAGTGCTCTGGACGTTGCCCAGCTTTAGAAGCCTCAGGCTGGTACCACCACGTGCCATCTCCACACTGTGTCACTGCAGATTTTAGCAAGCCCTTTATAGTACCAGGGGATGATATGAGCTCACCTAGAAGAACATTCTTAAATCCACAAAGCAAAATATATAAAATGGTTGGGAAAATTGATTTCATTAGCTAAGTTAACCGAATATTCAATGGCAAACACACGATATTGGTGAACACAGGGCACAGGCTCAGGTGATGGTCTGATGCCTGAGAGATCAAAGCAGCCATGAGTGTGGCAGACACCTGGAGGTCCTGGTGGCACCTGGGGTGTGGGTACCACAGGTATTGCTGTGCCAACGTTCCTGAATGGGGAAACATTGACTTTGGGACAGAAATACAGAAAATGAAGACATCTATCCTGCTGTCACAAGCTTGGGTGTCCTGGTTAGACAGCCTCACTCTAGACGGAGCTAGTGAGGGAATGCTACGAAGCTACCCCTCCCTGCCGATTGGGAATTGGGTTTCTATGAAATGGCTCAAGTTGCTCTCAGGCCTGGTTCTGGCTGCACATTCTGAGCACCAAATTCTTACTTCCTCACCCTCCCTTCCAGTGGGAGGTGATTCCCCGCTACCATGTCAAGGTCACAGCAAACTGCATGCTGCCTTCTGGAACATTCCTGTTCTTTCTGTCTTGCCAGCTTCAAGCTGTCTCTTAAGTCTGTGCTGGGCACTTCTCACGACGATCTGTTCTCTGCCTCCTGGGAGCTACTCCCTTCTCCCATCTGGACAGTCCTGGTAGAAACTGGGGCCGGGCTGGCCCCTGGGGAGTTGTGTGGCGCCTTTCTTGGGTTCCTAACTCTGGGAAAGCAGAAGCTAGTGGAGTCCTCTTCACTTCCTGCAACCTGGTCCTGCCCTGCAGGAGTACCAGCTGCATTTGGAGTCAATCTATTTATAAACACAGGTGAGCAAACAGTCCCTGTCTGGGGAGATGGACAGCGCTCAGGCTGAGAGGCCTTGTGGGGAACACAATGACCTCGTGAGTCACCCTTTCCCAGTGCCCCTTCCCCACTCCCTGCTCCCCCCAATGTAGAATAAAATAGTAATTAACACCCGCTCAGCCTGACACCAACTATTTATTTTGTTCTAACTGTGTGGTTTCCGTATTATCACTGCCCACCCTGCCGTTAATGGAAATGTTAATAACCCGCACCAGGTTGCTGTGACAGATGCTCAGCCTCATTATCAGAAATTCTTATTTACCGCTCCATTAAACAACAGAATCACACAAAAAAACAATTCAATCAAAACTAACTGGAGGAATTTTAACAGCCACATTAATAATCCAAAACATAAATAAAGTTAATGTCTTTTGCATGTTTGCCATCGGCAACTCTATTGCAAAATTACTGTTGTACAATTAAAATGTGAAAGGCAAAATTGAGCATGGCCATTACCCTGGGCGTGAGTTAGGAACCCCCCAGCACCCCCAAGGGTTTCTTTACATGGACTCAACCAAACCCAGCACAGCAATATCCCTGGACTCAGAAGTCCATCTGTAGGAACTGGTGGAATTCATGTGCTCCAGGCAACCCCCTCACCCCACACTCAGGAGCCCACGTGTCTCTTGGCTGAGGTTGATACACATTGGACAAAGGCCCCAGTGCCGTTTCAGGCAGCGGAGAGGCTTCTGTTTCCCTGTCGGCTATGTTGCAGTATGGTGCTTTGTGCTATAAAAATTCTGCAGGTAACAAAGAATGTTTGCTATTGATGACACATGCAGGGAAAAAGAGAACTATATGTAAACACTGAGAGAGCTTGTGAGTTTTGAAACTTGTTTTTTTTTTTTTTTTGGCTCCTGAATGCTGCTGGATCTCCATTCTGATAGGAGAATTTGACTCTCAGGAAGGCCCTGCTGCTCCCAGTGCTAAATGCAAGCCTCATTCAAGGAATATGTGTGCATCTGGGGAGTTGAAGGAGCGCTGGCTCAGTCATTATCTTTTTGTTTCCTTATCTAAACATTTGTGGCTTAAGGAGAACCCAAATAACAGCCAGCACGTGCCTTTAAAATGCATGACATTATTTTTAAAAAGCTTTTTAACCAGCAATTTCTAGATTTGCTGAATCACAGACTGCCTACAAACAACATCAGAGGTGAACTGGAAAGGTTACAGTACAAGGCTGTGCTCTACTTTGTAGGTTTCATGCAGAGCTAATAATGCTCTGATAGAACTATCTGCATCCAGTGTGAGTAGAGTTGCTCCTGTGTCTGAACCAGGGAACCGGAACAGTCTTGGAGAGGGATTTCGTTATCTAGTAACACAGAAGGCTCAGGTGCTTCCAGAAGCATTGCATCTGACAGCTATAGCAGTGTTCCAGAGGTTTCTGGAATTTTCTGGAATCCTGCCTGGTTGCTTGTGGAGGCCTACTAAACTGGGTGCTGTGGGCTGAGCCAGACTGGATCTCCCTGGACCAGTTGTCTCTGCCAGGAAAGGGTAGGGTGGATGCTGGCAGGGAAGTCCTACAGAGCAGTTATAGCAATGCTCTATCTACCCTACTCAATTCTGGGCTGGTTCATTGCTGGCAGACCATCACTCTCAGCTAGATAAACAGACAGACACTGGAGCACAGTGGCTGTCACTAACTCAGTCTCCTCCTGTTCTTCTTCCTCCTCTTCCTCCTTCTTTTGTCTTTTTGAGACAGGGTTTCACTATGCAGTTCAGGCTGGCCTTGAACTCACTGTGTAGTCCAGGCTGGCTTTGAACTTGCGGGAAGCCTTCAACTTCAACCTCCCAACTGCCGGGATTATAGGCATGCGCCAGCCACCATGTCCAGCCTCATTTTCTGTTCATTCCACATTCTCTCAGACCTAGGTGACCTTACTGCCATAGGGCCCTATATCCAGTCTGGGCTCAGCCATTGCCTTGGGGTGTAGGAACTTCTGCTGTGGGGAAGCAGCAGATAGCCCCAGCATGCTCACACCACAGAAGGAAAAGAGGAATGCCCCACTTGTACCCCACCCATGCTCTTATCCGACCCAGAGAAACCATGTTCAGGTAACTTTTGTTACAGTATATTATTATGACTGCTCTATTTTATTATTAGTTGTTAATTGCTTACTGTGTTTAATATATGAACTAAACTATACCATGTGATATAGATAGAAAGGTATACCATACACAGGTTCAGGACACTGATGATAGTTTCTGGTCTCCTCTGGCATTTTGGATTGAGCCCCGATGATGAGGGGATCCCTGAGGATGTTGACAGCTGCATGTGGCCTTTGGTAGGGTGGCACAGGCCTGACAGAGCAAGTGGAGGTTTCAGAGTTGTAGGAAGTGACCCTACATGGAGGGTCATTCATTCAGTCCTTCACTCTCTCATTCAGATATCCACTCCATGGCAAGTTTGATCCCAGTCTGGGCAACTTAATAAGTTAGTAAGACTCTATCTCAAAATCAAGTTATTATTAAAAATGGCTGGGGGAGGTGTAGCTCAGTGGGAAGGTTCTGCTAGTTTCAATCCCTGGTAACACAAAACAAAGAAAAATCCACTCCCTGTGGTGGGAGAGTCATCTGTCTTACTTTAGACAGTGGCAGGGTTGTAGGACTTGTAGTGGCCCCTGCTAACTCCATTGACCACATGACTCTTTTTGATCAAAGACACGTGAACAGCAGCAGTACATGGGCAGCAGGATAGGAACAGGAGCCACCACCTTACAGAAGCTCCAGAGGCTGTGTGGCCCCAGCCCCTCTTTCTCATGCCCTCTAGACTAGCTGAGCCTTGTTCTGAAATACAGAACAGGAGGCAGAGAGGCCTGGGAAGCCCCAAGGGCGGGCCCCATGGTGGTGAGCGTTGTGTGGGTGTTGAGGCCACTGATGTCCAAGGCCTTCTTGTTTCAAGGCACGTGTGCTAGACACTTCCTGAATGTTCCCTAGACCCCGATCTTGGGCCTGGGTTGGGTGGCTACATAGATGTAGAAGACAATTTAACAAGGGAGCAAAATTACAGTAATAATGGCACAAGGTAGAGGAAAGCACACCTTCACAGGGCCAGGAGAGGGGCCTTCCAGCTGGGCATGTGCTTGTTTCTGGAAGACAGAACATTTGGCTAAATAACAGGGCAGATTTACCAGGGGACAATGGGCCAGGAAGCAAGGGCAGACTTGGAGGTGGGAAAGGAAGAAGCAGAAGTCCAAAGTGAGAGAGCTGCTGTCTGGGTCACAGTAAGCAGAAGGCCATCTGTTCTAGGGCCAAGGTTGGCCACTGCCTCAGGGTCACCCTTGGCCATGCAGGGCTCCTGTGCTGCCGGATCATCTGGTCATGCTGAGCACCTGCTTTTGCTAGATGCATGTGTGGCCACGGCAGACCATACTGGGCTTCCTCCTTCAGTTATTATCTTGGTAGCATAGGTTTTTAAATGACAACTTGAGGATCATTGCTAATGTTTTACTATAATAAATATTTCCTTATATAATTAAAACATTCTACACTCATCAATTCACTATAATTACATCAATGTTTTATTGGTCAGATACTCTCTCTGACTCCCTGTTGAAGTAAACAGGAAATAGAATTCTCTAATCTAATTTACCTTCTCTGCAAAGTTTGCCAACACATCTGTTCCCTGAAGCAGGGTTATCTGGAGACTATGTATCTTCTGAGGCCTTCTCTATGCATGAAGGAGCATTAAGTGGAACACACTGCTTCAACTCAGTTGGAGAGGAGCTGGATTTGGAGACAAGGAGCAGTGCCTTGATGCAGGAGAGCCAGAGAGTGGGGATTTGGTGGTCTCGGTGGATGAGCCAGGAAAGGAAAAGCCCTGTGTACAGTCAAGAGCACAGTCCTGAGAGCGTAGTGTGCGGGTGACTGCTGTCCATGAAGAGGAAGTTC